GCCTTGGCTAACAAGGGAAGCCCGACGGGGCTGCTGGGAAAGTGGGACCTGGAAGTGAAAATGAAAGTGAAACTCTCCGGGAAGCCGCAGGAGACCGGGCAGTGTGGGAGCATCGCTGAAAAAACCCAAAAAACCCGAAGCGCGCTGGGCGACAGGCTGGGATGGCGCTTGGTTTTGGAGGTGTTTCCCACCTCTGATGGCCCTTGAGAAGCGTCGTCGCGCTGCAAGACGTCCCCATGGGCACCCTCACCCCCCAACCGCACGCCCGTATCTTATATTTGCACTGAAAATCAGGCAGAAGGTCAAAGAAGCTCGGGGAGAGGCAGCGGAGCCCCGTTATCACCCGATGTGGTGTGTTACCAGATGTGCCAGATGTGCCTCTGGTCTCACGAGCCGCCCCGACACGAATTTAACGCCGCGGGTTGATTACACAGCGATCTGCAACGTCCTTGTAAAAAATAAAAACCACAACGAAACAAAAAAGCAACGCTGCTCGTTGAAAAGCGTGCCTGCCCGTGTGCAAAAGTCTTGGCAGCGTTCCGGCTTGGAGCGACGTTTGTGAATAAATGTGGGATAAATATCTCTGTGGCTCTGGTTTCTAGGCTGGAAGCGGTGCGTGGGTCTGCTGTGGATGGCGGCATCGCAGCCTGACCAGGATGGTTTTTTTGGGGTGGAAACATGTTCCGTTGGCTGTGGGGTCACCAGCAACCTCTGCCGCCTTTAGGGAGATGAAGCGGGTGGGAAGAGCCAGCAGATATTTCAGGCTGGTGACTGCAGCCCTGTCCCGAAGGGGTGGAGAGCAATCTCAGTGCTGTCCCAGGTCCAAACTGCGAGGAAAAGCAGCTTTTTTTTGACCTTATTAGAGTCAATCGGTTCAACGAACTTATCTCTGGATAATTTGAAGGGATCTGGGTTGAGCTGTGTTCTGCTAAAACTGAGTAGTGATAATTAACCTGGCTTGTCTGCTGATTAGGAAAAGGCTGACCCTGGCCACTTTTTTGAAAGGTGAGTGGGGAAGGAGAGCATGTAGTGAAAAATATGCAAAATAGTACAATATCTAGTAAGGAAATGAGTTTTTTGCTGGGTGGCAATAAAACTAACACATAACCTCACCCGGGGAGAAATAAAAGGACTTAAATATTGCTTGACATAAGCAATATTTCACCAGTTGTCAGCAGCGTATGTCAGCAATTGTCAGGCATGTGACACGGGGCTGTGTGTTCTCCTGTTGAATAAAATCCTGCAGGACAAGCCTCACCTACCCCCTGCGGGCAGCGAAGTGGCTGCAGGGTGACAGTTTCACACAGCAGGTTGTCACCAGAGAGTCACCGTCATCCAGATACGCTTCCGTGGGTTCCCACAGATGCTTTCTTTGGCCCTGACGAGGCAATTTATCATCTCTTCAGGAGAAAAGAAATTTGCAGAGCAATAGAGCTGTCGGGGCAGCTTCCATCCTCGGACAAGCCGGCTGCAAGCAGGTTGGGTGCATCTAGGAAGAGCTTGCTGGGTCGGGCAGGGATGCGTGGCTGGAGGGCTTTGCAGACCAGAAGACTGGAAGAGAGTTTTGTGGGGAGTTTTTCTGGATCCCCTCAAAGAAACCCACGCGCACGGTCCAACGTGCAAGCAGAGCCATTAGCATTTTGCTTTCCCTCGCATTTTGCAGCAGCAAAATACGTAAAAGGTATATATGTGCTGGGGCATCCAGCTGTGCCAGGGGGAGAGTTTCAGCCAGTTTAGTCTTAGCTTTAGCTAAGTCAGCCCCCCTTTGTATTTGGGGTCTATTTTGCGCCCTCTCCATGAGGAAATTTTGGAGGACAGCGTGCTGGTTAACTGCTGCCAGGACATGAAAGGCAGATGAGCACACTGCCAAAAAACTGGATGGGCTGGTGAATGTCCTGCTGCAATAAAAGACCTGATCTGTGTCGATCACCACAGGAGAGGTTGAAGTGACTGCCTTTAGGAGCATCCTAAATGCTCCTGGCTTAGGAACATCTACCTAGGGAATTAAAAATTGCCGACTGAGGGCTCTGCAGGATGGAAAATGCTGATACAATGAGATAAAACAGAGAGGAAGCAGCAGTGTAACATATCTGGACCAGACATAAAGCGTAGGGGTGTTTTTGCAAGAAGATGCTTGATCATCAGGAGGAAAATACCCTGCTGAGAGATATGGGATTTAAATCCAGGTCAGTGGTGTTTCTCCTGTGTTCAGGGAGGCCCATAGATGATGGAGACAGTACCTGGCTGGCTGGCTGGTCCATGATTCCTGTAGGACAGTGGTTCTTCCTTGTCTTGTGAGTCTTAAAAGCCACCTCACATCAGCCTCTTTTGACTGAAATGTGCTGCAGCTTCCTCGATAACAGATATGGCAGCCAGGGGCTTTATGGGGCGAGGTGTCAGGCAAAGCAGAGGTGATGCCAGGATCCCAGCCTGGCAGGATCCCCAAGCAACACGGCACAAACGATTTATGCCAACACCAGAGTTTGTGCTGTTTGTCTCTGGTGTGTTTGGTTTCATTTTAAGTCATCTACAGTGGCATTAACCACCTTGCCTGGCTCTGTCATGGAGATAGGACAGTGAAACCATGAACCAGGTCTCGCGTACCATCGATGCTGTGCCCTGTGGTTCGTGGGCTTAAGGGTTTCCCAGCAGTGACACAGAGCTGGTTCACACATCTCTGGTAATCTGCGAGCGGCTGCGGGTGCAGCGTTCTGGCTGTTTCCAGCCCTGTGGTGGTTATTTTCTGCTGAGGGAAAAGAGATGTCAGAGGAAATGACCTAAAAGCTGAATATTTGAGTCTGGATTGATGATGGAGCATGGAGGGAAGCTGCTGGGCAGGATGAGGAGGTGAGAGGACACGAGTAGGGAAGGGATGAGCACACGTTTTTTTGCATGGAGGGCGAGGAAAATGTGGAGAGGGGCAGGTTCGAGCATAGAAGGAGGAGAAGGTTGTGGGACGGAGTGGGGTGGGGGGCAGGCAGGGCTGGCTGTGGGGAGGGTGTGGAGAGAAGAGCAGCAGTCACACAGGGATGTGGGGAGGGCAGAAGGTGGATGATGGCGAAACTACAAGAGCCAGAGGAGACGTGAAGAGAGGCTGGGGCTGGGGAGAGGCTGAAGTTGTGTTTTAAACTGCTGGCACGCTCCTCCAGGTATAATACTGTGAGGTTTTTGAGGCTGCTTCTCTCGTCTCCTTGACAGTCAGCTCTCGTGTTTGACCCAGGCTGGTTCCCACATGCCACGATTCAGTTTATTTTTCCATCTCTCTGTAGCCAAGTTTGTCACTTAACAAACAAATGCCCCTCCAGCCCCGATCTCTGTCCTCTCTTTAAGCCAGAGGAACGGATGGGAGGGCAAAAGAACTTGCCTGGAACTTCCCAAAGCTGCAGAAGTGAGAAATGGAGATTATTAGATGAAAACTAAAAAAAATCATGCCTTTTCCCAGCTCTGTCTTTGTTCCTTTGTGCCTGCGTGGGAGAGAGCTGGTGAAGGCTGAGTGTCGCCAGCCGTCGCTGTCTCCTCACTCTTAGAGCGAGGCAGGACTTTGCACGCTTGGTTGTGACCATTTGAGTTTGGGTTCATCACAAGAGCAGCGATAATAAGCCGACAGCATCTGACAGGGTGTCGGAGGGAACGTCAGTCGTGGACACAGGGACGTCTGTTGACGAAAACAGCGGCAGCACATGATGCCAAGCAAACAGCTTCTGCGTGGCTTCAGCTCCAGCTTTGTCTCTTTGTTGACCAGGGACCAGCCATGCTCCAGCTCACTCACCTCCAAAAAGCAATATCTGAAGAGCAGACTGAGAGGAAGCTGGTATTAATCAAAGGAATGAAGTGAGATGAAGGTGTTTTCTCATGGTTGTCCACACAAAGCTCTCCTTGACATCCTTAATCTGAGCAAGAAGCATAAAAACTGACTTGCATGCTCCGTCTTTGCTCTGTTCTCTAAGGCACCTCACAAATTGCCTTGGCTCCTCTCCTAACCAGCTTCACGGGGAGACTCGAGGTGGAAGGGGGACTGCCAGGACTGCCCTCCAGCCCGTGGTGGGTCATGGGTTTTGCTCCCGTGCCACCCATGTCAGAATAACGCGAGGCTGGTCGGAGCAAGGCGTGACAAGCCCGAGGAGTTTGCACAGACCCTTCTCCCATTTGATGTTGCTGAAACCTTCCCATATCATTTAGCACTCTCAAAGCTTTTTTTTTTTAACAAGAATTGAGGCAGCTTTTTCTGCCTGCACCTGTAATTTTTAGTATGACTCAAAAGAAAAAAGAGGAAAAAAAATAGCAGGAAAGAAAAACATCCCTAAACTGAAAGCACAGAGGGTCGATGGACTCACAGATGCTGCTCGGAAGAAAGAGAATGGCCTTTGCTGTCATCTTTACAGTTGTCTGAATCACCCGTTGTTCTAGTGACTAATTCGTGATGTCCTCAAGATGTTTGTGTCACATCTGGAAATTACAGTTGTGCTCCACCTACCCAAACAGAAGACACTCATATATATTTGTATGCATATATACATAATATGTATACTATATATTTGGTTTTTGGTTTTTTTTCCAGTTGTGACTCTCCTGTGCCAGTAGCTGATGACCACCATGTCACGCCGAAAGGACAGATGGGTTTCTTCCTTCTCTTTCCTGCTCTTCTGTGCTTCCTCCATCCCAATGTGGGGAAGTGCGAGGCTGCTGCAGGAGCTGAGCCCCCAGGAGTATTTCAGGAGCTTGCAAGCTGGCAAAGCATCTCTGGCTTATTTCAACCGTAACGGTAGGTATTTTTGCTGAGTTTTCAGCAAAAGCCTGTATGAGGGCCTGTGTGGAAGTGGAACAATGAAGAAGCAAATGATTTTTAAACCCAAAGTGATTCTGAGGAGCTGGTGGAGCTCAGCTGGCAAATGTGTGTTTGCACAGCCCCAAGTGCTCCTGACAGTCAGAGACCTCTGGGGATGGGATCTTTCCTGGCTGTGTCCCCAGGCACACTCCTCCAAACGTCTTCATTAATGTTCTGGTTTATTTTCTGGAGGTATCATGGAAGAGAAACCCACCCTCAAAGGCAGCTGGGTTTCTCATCCATGATACCTCCAGGGGAAAGGAGGTTCCCTTGCATGCAGGGGAACTGAGGGCTGTCAAGAATTAGAAGGAGATCCTTGGCCTTGCCTTTCTTGTTCTGCTCCTTCACAGCCCCCAGGTGTGGTTTCCTAGTCCCTGTTTGCCCTGCTCAGGTGTCCCAGAGATGTTTGGATGGGCACCTGGGCATGCTGTCACAACGCCAGAACACGGGCAGTGCTTGCCTTGAAGGTACTCTCTCATCTGCCTCATCTGTTGGCTGGAAGGGATAGACATTTATCTCAGGAAGCCCTTCCTCATGGAGAGAGTGGTCAGATATCGGGATGCACTGCCCAGGGCAGGGAGTAGTCACTGTCCCTGGAGGTGTTTATGGAGAGGCTGGATGTGGCACTTAGTGCCATGGTCTAGCCGTTGCGATGCTGTTGAGTCATAGGCTGGACTTGATGATCTCAGAGCTCTTTTCCAACCTCAACAATTCTGTGATTCTGTGAAACCAGGGCAGGTTTTTTTGTGTTTCAGTTTCTCCTGGTCCCCAGCCCTTCTTGGAGCAGATTGAGGACTCGGCTGAGGCCCTCCAGGACTATGGCATTTCAGTGGTGAAGGTAAATGAGGACAAGAAATGGAACGGGCTGTTTCTGCAGATTATTTCTACAGAACGTCCTGCAGGAAGGACAGAACCACCTTGGTGACTGACAGTGGTGGGACCTCACAAGAAAGCAGATTTTGGTGGGCTAGGACATCCTGTTTTATCCTTTGCCCTGACCTTACATCTTGCTGCTTGTGAGTTGCATCCCACCTTCTGCCCTAGGGACACGGGCAGGTTGCCATGTCGCAGAGGAGCTGGAAGTTGTCCCTGTGTCTCCAAACACGGTGAAACAGAGGACTGGCAATGCCATGGGTCAGGCAGGGACAGCCCTGAGCTGCTCCTGGCCTCCCAGTTCGGTCTCAGTAGACGAGCCCGTGCGCTTTGATGTGTGTTCATGAGTTTAGGGGATGTTTAGCTACTCACATTTTTCCTGCGGGTTGGTTTTTTTCATGGGCAACCCCCCATACCAGGCTTAGCTGGTCTCCCAGCAGCTGTGGGGTGTGCATGGCTGGGGGGCATGTTGCTGTGTACCCATGGGCATGGCACGAGGAAGAGTGTGATCCCCCTTGGGCTGCACAAGAGGGCATCAGCCCCCTCCTCTCCCTCAGGACAGACTTGCCCAGCTCCCTCCATAGCTCCCTCCTGCCAGCAGAAGCTGCAAAGAGTGATGGATGGGGGTCGGTTCACTTTTAAATTCAGTGCAATGAATGTTTCATATAAAGGAGTTTTTAGCTGAAGTTTTATGCATGTTTAGGTGAGGGTATTATAAATTCAGGCAATTAGATGATAAGAAGTGCTTATATATATGTGTGCATTTGTATTTAGTTTCTACTAGATACTGGCTAAATGTAATAAGCAAGCAGCGATCTGTCACTTTGAATATGCTGGGCAGATTATAAGATCTCTTGATCTCATCTGACTCATATCAAGAGAAGTGGAATTTAAACTCCAGTCCCCACCTCTGGACTCCATTTTGCTGTTTTTATTCTCCTAGCAGAAAAGAAAACTGTAGTGCTGCATGTTTGTACTCATTTGTGGAGCTGAATGTCTGATTAATTGCTTTCAATGTCTAGGTGAATTGCCCCGACAAGGATGTCTCAAGATACTGTGCAAAAGAAAACGCGTTAAGGAAAGCCTACCTGTTCAGGTGAGAGGGGCTTTCTGGGCACCAGGCTGTGGTTGCTTTTCGGTGTGAAAGTTGGAAGAATATACTGGCAGTGATCAGAGATATCTGTGGAGGAAGAGAGGAGCCATGAGGACAGCAGTGACATACAAAGTTTAGCAAAAAGTACCCCTGAAAGATCCAACACAGACAAAGCAGATGCTTCGTCCTCAGTTTGAAACCTCCCGTCCTGCCCCGCATTCCTCTGAGCAGCAGAGGACTCTGCTGCGACGTGAAACCACCAGAGAAATCCTCCATCAGTGTTCTTCTGTCCTTGTGGTCTCCAACCACCAGGTCCTCCAAACTTACACTCAGACCACTCTGGTTTGGATCTAGTCTTAGAAAGAAACACTCTGGTGCTTGTCCTGTTGGTGTGGTTACCTCATCTGCCCTGGATGCCAAGGTTTAGCTCTTGGTCTTTCCATGGGTTATCAGCTGGAAGCTTCTCCATGTATTGGCTCAGTTCTAATTGAATCGTAGACTCATAGAATTGTAGGATTGTAGGACTGTAGGATCCTAGAATGGTTTGGGCTAGAAGGGACCTTCAAGATCATCTCATTTCAACCCCCCTGCCATGGGCAGGGACACCTCCCACCAAACCAGGTTGCTCAAAGCCCCGTCGAACCTGGCCTTGGATGCTTCCAGAGATGAGGCATCCACAACTTCTCTGGACAACCTGTTCAGTGCCTCACCGCCCTCACTGTAAAAAATTTCTTCGTTATATCTAGTCTAAGTCTACTTTTTTTTCAGTTTGAAATCCTTACCTCTTGTCCTATCACTACACTCCCTGATAAAGAGTCCCTCCCCAGCTTTCTTGTAGTACCTGACCCACAGAAACATTTCCTCTGGTAGTGAGGGTCTATAGGATGATGCTTAGAGTATAGAACTCTTCTGCTGGTCTGTGCTAGCCTTCTCGTCAACAACAGTCCCCAGAAGCTAAGTGAAATGGCAGTGACAGAGGTGACTTCACTAAAACAGCATTGCCTGGACACCTCATCCTACAAGCTCTCCCAATTCAATCCTGACATTTTCTTTCCAGCCATCCCTGCTAGCAGATAGCTGGAAATATTCAGCAGAGTGGCAATTAAATCAGTACATGCAGCTCATCGTTCACAGTTTCTTTGATGATACTTTTCTTCCCTCCCTAGAGGTAACCTCCTCATCAGAGAGTTCCCCACCGACGCCTTGTTTGACGTGAACTCCATCATTGCTAACGTTTTGTTGTAAGTACAGACCAGATGCATCCCTCTGAAATCTTTTACTTTCCTTTCTCACTTGGTGGCACGAAAGTTTGCGTAAATACAAACCCGACGTATTCCAGACGATCTCAGCCAAGCAGAACACTGATTCTCTATTTGATATGGTTTGACCCTGTTAAATGTGTGCTCTCGAGATGGCTCGCCAGCAGCCGTATTTGGCTGGGAAACTTCAATCTGCCAGCGAGAAGCTGGAACTTAACATCATTTTTCCCATCACTGTTACGTGGCCGCAAATTCGCTCTTAAAAGAAAACAGTCCGTAATGAGTTTTTTTCTGATTCCTCAGTGCCCTGCTCTTTAATGAAGTTAAATACGTCGAAACACTGGCAGATCTTCAGAACGTTGAAAATACACTGAAAGGAAGGTCGAACATGGTCTTTGCCTACGTACCAGCTACTGGGACAGCAGGTATTAACACTCAGCTTTTCGTCTTTGCTCTCCTCCCAGAGCCTTTTTTACTATGTGCAAGGGAGCTGTGTTTCTTACAAAAAATCCTGCAAATGGAGGGTCAAGGAAACCTGAAATGCTCACCCACCTCTGCATGTCTTGCTGCGTTTCCAAAGAGATCGGTTGCACCAGGAAAGTTTTGCTGGGAGCGTAAACTTTCAGAGATGGACTTGAGGGGGAAAGCATACCAGCAGCTGCCGACTTGAAGAATGAATAAACCCATAGGCAGATCTCTGGTTATGCAGTAGAATGGGTTCGCATACACCACCCGTGTGTTTACTGGGGCTCAACAACTGGGACCAACTCTAGTTACTCACAGACAGCTGTGACTTTACTAAGAGCTTCCGAAGGCCTGGGCATTGCTGTTTGCAAGTGGGGAGCATGAGGAAGGAGATCTGGAGGGGAGATGAGATGAACTGAGATTTGCTTTTTTCTTTCCAGAGCACAGAGCCGTGATGGAGGCAGCTTTTGTCTACGGGACTGTCCACCAGTTTGTTCTGACCACCGAGGCAACGCTGTTGAAAGATGCTGGGTATGTCCAAGCACACACCCACCAGGTAGAGCTACTCCATCCATGGGGTGTACATCCAGCTGATGTAGCTGCACTGTTGGCTCTACTCTTGGTTTTTCGCATTCTCAGGTCAAATGTGGAGTTTGGTATTAGGGTGTTATGCCAAGGGTGAGCGGTCAGATCTGTTTCACTTTTCCAAAGCCAGTTGCTGCTTGTGTTCCTGGACTTGGACTAGCCATGCCAGTTGTGACTGCTCATTAAATGGGATTTCATAGAACACTCCGCTTTCTCCTTTTCATAACTGACAGCTTCAGCCATGGGTTTTCAGGAGGGCCAATATGGCTGACGTTATAGTCTCAAAACACTCAGCCTTGTGCTTCGGTGGTCAAGCCTGGCCAGCCGAGAAGGGAAAGTACTGCTCTAATGGGTTGGAGCGAAGCCCACCCAGCTCCATATCTCAGCCCTGCTGTGGCTGTAGGTGCTTCTCAAGGGGGGTGAGAAAACAGATGTTTGTTACCTGCAGCCTCCCATCAGCTGGCAGCCAGAAGTCTCAGGATACTCAGGAATGGGGGCTGAGCCCATATCATGGTGTTAACAGGCACGAGAATTTTTTTAAATACATTTTTAGTTTTCATCTCAGCATGTTGAGTCGCCATCCCCGGATGTGTTTAAGTGTCGTTTAGATGTGGTGTTGGGTGATATGGTCTAGGGGTGAACTTGTAGTGTAGGGTTAATGGCTGGACTCGATGATCCCAAGGGTCTTTTCCAACTTCAAATGTTCTATGATTCTATGTGGCATTCAACATGGTTTAGTGGTGTTGACAGGGCTGGGAAAAGGTTGGACTTGATGATCTTGAAGGTCTCTTCCCGCCAAAACTGGTCTATGATTCTGTAGTTCAGCTTCTTGAGGCATTGCTCCTGTGTTTGGAACTTCCCACCCGATGGCCTCACTGGACTTGGCCAACTCAGGCCAACTCCTTCCCATGAAGGAGGAACTGCTTTAGAAGGGCAGATCCTTCGACATGACTTGCTGCTGATGTGACCTGCTGCAGCCAGGAAAGTGAGAGGGAGGAAGGTGGGAAGATGACCCAGCACGTTGCATCTTCAGCAAAGCACTTCAAGAACGATTTACCTGCTTTCACAGGTGACACCGGGACAGGCACCAAAGTGTTCCTTCCCGGAGGTGCCATCCCATCAGGATCATGACCAGGGACAGCAAACTTGTGGCTGCCACTAGATGGCACGGTTGTCATTTGGACAGGAACTGGCTTTATTCTGGTTGAAGCAGAGGACACCAACAGGCCATGTTCTTAGCTGGTGACATGGTGGTAGCTTCACCAGCATGCATAGCTTTTGACCATTTTTGGTCTTAATACTACACTCTACCACAGAGAGAGCTGAAACCCTTTACAAAGAAGGTGATTGCTGGTTTAGAGGTGGAGAGTGGGTGCGTAGGAAAATGAATGTGGCTTCCCAAAGTTAACCCAGAGGCCAACAGCAGGGATGGTATCAGAGCAGGAACAACTAACCAGAAACTCGATCTCACTGCTTCTTTTGACATAGCCAAAACCAGTGCTGTTCAAAAGGTGTAATAGTCCTTTCACAGTCTGTAAGATGTCATCAGTGAGGTAAAAGGCATGGGCAAAGCTGTAGACTTCAGCTCTCCTCCTCCTGCTGGAGTCCATTACAATGGCATTGCTGATCCCGCTGAGAAAAGGTTAATTTGTGTCTGTCTCGAAATGGGCCAACTGTTGTGGGCTTGGGGTCAGCTACACCTGGGGAGCCAGGGTCTTCATTAGATGTTCAGCACAATTCTGAAAGGCATCTGGACACAGTTGTAGCTGTAGGGCTCTCAAAGAGGTCCCACATGGCTGCCAAACCCTGAACTTGAGGCTCATCTGCCCTGTAAAACATGTCAGCAAACACAGTCATTCTGCTGGAGCCTTTTAAAACCCCACGGTGGATGTCAGGCTCAGCGTGGCTTTTTTTTTTTCTCTCACAGCAATGATGAGCCTGATGTGTCTTCTGCCCGGCTGTTGTTCTGCCACTGCCAACGGGCCACAGACCTGGCACAGCCCTGCAGGAGGACTGCCATGGAGCAGGCTCTAACCAAGCTCAACATCCACAGGCATCTCAAGCTCATGGAGGCTCCTCTGGTGGTATGACTGGCAGAGAGGAGCCATTTGGGCTGTGGACGTGAGGGCAGCTGGCGCGGGTGTGAGGGTGAGAGAGGTGTGAGCAGAGGGCAAGGCTGAGCGTGAGAATATGCCCCTTTCTCGTGAAGTTAGTGGTAAAGCTTCCAGGGTGGATCCAAGCAAGGAACAGGCATGGGGCTGGATGGCAGTGACGCTCCATTGCGCTGCTCAGCTTACTTAGACCTTTCTAGGGAGCCCTGACACCAACGTGTGCTCCTCCAGCTGTCTGTAAGTACCATGGGTGGGAGCGGGGTGGAGGTGCCCCTTGGGCTTTGCTGGAACATATAGAATGGAATAGAGTGGAGTTGAACAGAAGAATAGAATAGAATAGAATAGAATAGAATAGAATAGAATAGAATAGAATAGAATAGAATAGAATAGAATAGAATAGAATAGAATAGAATAGAATAGAATATTTCAGTTGGAAGAGACCTATTACGATCATCTAGTCGCACTGCCTGACAACTTCACGGCTGACCAAAAATTAAGGCATGTCATTAAGGGCATTGTCCAAATGCCTCTTAGACACTGACAAGCTTGGGGCATCAACCACCTCTATATGAAGCTTGTTTGAGTATTTGACCACCCTCTCGGTAAAGAAATACTTGCTAATGTCCAGTCTAAACCTCCTATGGTGCAGCTTTGAACAATTCCCAGACTCCTGTCACTGGATACCGAGGAGAAGAGAGCAGCATGTCCCTCTCTACATCCCCTCCTCAGGAAGCTGTGGAGAGCAATGAGATTGCCCTTCAGCCTCCTTTTCTCCAGCCATTCCTCTAGGATTCAGTGGACTAATATTAAATTTGGTGACTGATAGCAAATTCCTGGGGAATTTGATATCAGTCATTCATATGTTGGTGAACACAAGGGCCAAGAAGCTCCCTCCTATCTCCTCTTGCCATGGGGCAGTGAACTTCAGCAGACCTCCGATTCTCACTGATGACATCTCTGGCCAGCCAAAAGGATGGGTAGATGAGCTGAGAAGTGCCTCCTTCAGACAGCTTTTCTGGGTTAGGTCCCTGGAGGGAAGGCACATCATTAAGCAGCTCCGTGCTGGCATGAAGCAGCATGTACAAGGCAGGAAGGGAGAGGGTGCCAGCTCTTGCATGTTGCAGCGGGGGTTTTCACACTCCCCTGGGGAATGGATGCCAGGTAAATAAAAATTAATGGAGATTTGAGGTCTGGAGTTGCTAAGTTGCAAAGAACATGCATGATGAAGCCTGGGTTTTTAACAGAGTGGGTCGTGACAGGTTGGAACAGTTGGCTTATTTGGGTTCTGCTTTGATGAGTGATTTAGAATGGAGGTTGGAAGCTTTTTCTTGAGGGTCTTCCTTATTTCTGTGGCTGGGGAACACATGGTGTCTGGGAGAACAGCTGAGGTACTTTCAGTGGTGTGGAGATGTGCTGCAGTATAACCACGTCTCTTTTGCAGACAGAGGTTGCTGAGGACCCAGAGAAGGTTTCCACTGTTCACTTACAGCTTGGGCTACCGCTTGTCTTCATCCTCAGCCAGAAAGAGACCTACGAGGCTGACAGAAGGACAGCAGAGTTTGTGGCATGGCAGCTCTTGGGGAAAGCAGGAGTTGCCCTTTTGTCCAGGTATTTGCTCTCAGGTGTTTTGGGGTTCTCCTTGCTTTTAGTGCTGTTCCCGAGCTTGGTTACCCCACCACCAGGATGAGAGTCAGCGAGCTTATTCATATTTGGATGAGAGGCAATAAAACTAGGTTTTATCCTGCAAGACAGTGTTACATTTCAGGACTTGTCCAGAATTAGATTCGTTTGGTTTCGGACTGGCTGGAAGTGTAAAAAAGTTCGAGTCTCTCACTGACTTAGAAGTAAAAAAAATAGTCAACTAAGAGAGATTTTGGAAAGAAAACTTAGCACGAGTGGAAAGCTTATGTTTTGCCCTGTTTTGCCCTTAAGGGCAGAAGGAGATCCAGTAAAGGAGGGGGGCTATGGGTGCTGGGGTGTGACGGGGGTCTCTGCTCAATAAGCGATGCTTCCTGAGTCGGTGAGGGCTCTCTGGGTTAGATCAGCACTCTTCTTCCCCAGGAGGACAGGAGACATGCTTGTGTCTGGCCATAGTGCAGCTGTGCTGTGGAGATCTAGCTGCTTCTGTGGTTGACCACGAGTTATTCATCTCTACTCCATGGGCTCAGAAGCAGCCTGCAAACACCAGGCTGGCTTGTGTTTGCAAACACTTCCATGGGGTCTCACCAGAGGAGGTGGGCAGCCCCTATAAGCACGGTTGCACGGCCTGTGGGGATGTCTGCTGGCAGCTGTGCCGATGGGAGGAGAGAGAGGAAGGGTGGGTGTGGGCTCTCTTCTTCCAGCTTTCTGCCACCATGGTACTTCCCTGTATGGAGGCACTTCTTGGCTGCATTTGCCCATGAGCTGCAGTCCACCAGCAGAGCAGCTGCGCTTGGATGTGGCTACCAGTGCATGGGCAAAGACCCGAATCACAGAATCATAGAGAATTGTAGATTTGTCTGGGTTGGAAGGTGCATTCAAGATCACCTAATTCCATCCCCTGCCCTGGGCAGGGACACCTCCCACCAGACCAGGTTGCTCCAAGCCCTGTCCAACCTGGCCTTGGACATTTAAAGGGACAAGGTATCCACAACTTCTCTGGACAACCGGTGCCAATGTCTCACCACCCTCACAGCGAAGAATTTCTTCTTTATATCTAACTTAAATCTCCCTTCTTCCAATTTGAAACCATTACCCCTTATCCGGTCGCTACATGCTCTCATAAAGAGCCCCCCCCAGGTTTTCTATAGCCCCTTCAGCAAAGTTGCTATGAGATCTTCTTGGAGCCTTCTCTTCTCCAGGCTGAATAGCCTCAACAGTCTCAGCCTGTCCTCATAGAGCAGGTGGTCAAGCCCCTTGATCATAGAATCACAAAGTCGTAGAATGTATTGGGCTGGAAGGGACCTTTAAAGATCATCTAGTCCCACCCCCTGCAGTGAGCAGGGACATCTTTCACTAGATCAGGTTGCTCAGAGCCCCATCAAGCCTGACCTTGGATGTCTCCAGAGATGGGGCTTCCACTACCTCTCTGGGCAACTTGTTCCATTGTCCTCAGAAACTTCGTGGCCTCCTCTGGACATGGTTCCACAGGTCTGTGTCTTTCTTATGCTGGGTGCCCCAGAGCTGAAATCACAGAAAAGAAATCCAAACCCCTTGCGAAATGGGCACGTTATGTAGTGCAGTCCCACCAGAAGATCCTTTGAGGCCCATTTCTCCACCACTGACATTGATTCTAGGTTGGAACTGGGTGATCTTTAAGGTCCCTTCCAACCCTGTCCATTCTATGATTCTATGATTCTATGATTCTATGATTCTATGATTCTATGATTCTATGATTCTATGATTCTATGATTCTGGGTTCCTACAGGTTCTCGAGGGTGCTGAATCACACTTCTGTGAGGACATGGTGCTGCTGAGAGAGGTGAGCTTGCCAGCCAGGCAGGCTGAATGGACTTCGCACGTTGCAACTTCTAATATTCATTTTGTATTTTGGAAGGGACCTCGTAGATTTGAATGTTCTGCTCCGGTCAAACATCGCTCTCAAGACACCAGATGAGGTTAGATGCTGGATTTCTTTACTGTACAGTTCTTATTTCGTTGTCTGGGCATGGTGCTCTTGAGAAGTGTTGGAATGTTGGTCAGCTCTGTTCCCAGAAGCTCAGGGAGAAATGTCTTCCTCTAGATGCACGCATGTGTTTGGAACTGCCTGAGTTTGCTACTGCAGAGCCATTGTGCCTGCTGGTGAAGATAAAATACTGAGTTTATTTTGGGTTCAAACCATAGGCTGACATCTCTGTTACACCTTAAGGCCACACAAGGTTGTGAATTATGTAAGGTAGTAGTCCAAGTGCAAATTCCTCAAAGATTCGGACCCCTAAAAGCCTTTCCCCACTGAGGAGAGGCGTTCAGAAGATAGGAGAGGAAATGAGTGTGGAACTACAAGCAAACAACCAAAGAGCAGCTCAGAAGTGACGTAACCGAATGCCTCTGGCAGTGATCTGGGAAAAGAGCAGGGTGTAAGTTAAATGAGGTTGATCAAGATGAGCTAAACTCTGGAGGGACCTGACCCAGCTTGTGTGACAAGGTGGAATTCGGTGCCGAAAAGTAGCAGGGAGCACACATTGCCCCACATTACCTGAACTGTCACACTTGTCTTTGTGGAGATACAGGATCAGACCTGAACCCGAGCATCCCCCGAGGGCTCGGCGAGAGACGTGCTTGTTGTGTTTCTGCTCTTAGAGCCAACGAGAGGTGCCAGCAGTTTGTCATGTCTCTCAGCTCATTATAGAATTTATTTTCTCTGAAGTGCTGAGGCGGTGCCAGAACTGGTTTTAATCTGACCAAGGTCTCATTTCTGAGAAATACATTCTGCTCTTTTCTTTTTCATGGGTTGGCAGCCTGTGTACACTCGGGAGCACTCTTCTTGGTGGAGATCCATGAGATAAAGGGTATTTTTGTGGCAGCTTCCTATGCTGTGATGGGCTGCTCTGACCCAGCCTGACCCTTCTAGATGGGGGTACAGTTGAGTGGACCCTGTACCTCCCCGCTCTCCTTCACTAAAGCTTTTCTTGCAGTGGTGGATCCATGTTAAGATGCTGGGAGGTGGAGTGGGTGGTCACTTCCCCCACTTCAGACATCAGTCTGGAGCAAGAAAACTCATGCACAGGTGAAACTGGGCCAAAGAAACACACCCCAGATCCTCCCTTGTTTGACAGATTTAGGAATCCATTGACCTGCCCCAAAAATAAGTTGGGTGATGGTGTCCCGTCAGCCTTGGGTTTGGACCCATCAGAATGGCTCCGGGGTGATGTTTTGCTCCCACTGATTTATTCCCTTTTCTTTAGGGAGCGGCAATCAAATACCTGGTCTTGGAAGATGCTGATGAAATTATAACCCTGGTGGAAGATAAGAACAAGGTGAAACAAATCCAGGAGGATGAGGAGGAGGAGGAGGAAGATGAGGATGAAAAAGAGAATAACAATCAAGGTGTGCAACTAGGCAGTGTAAAGCTGATTGTCATCAGGTAGGACATGCAGTCAGCATCTGCTAAAGACATTAGAGAACGCTTTTCCAGATCCAAGGCAAACCTTCACAGTCACATCACAGTTGTATAAAGTGAGTCTTTTATTCTCTGGAGTTTAGTGACAGACAAGCATGATTTTTAGGGGAGACGCCAGGGAAGAAAATCAGCAGCTGTTAGAGGAATAGTTGCAGAAGTGCTGGGTGAAGAACAGGGGTGCTTCTGCTGGGATGCATCCAGCTCCAGGAGCATGAGGGGTTTAAAGTGCACCCGACGCTGTCTCCTCCTCAGGCATCAGAAGAGGAGCCTCAGAATTAGCAATCCCCTTGGAACGGTTTGAGACATGTTTTTCTAAGAGCTGTTCCAGACTTGCCTTCCCCAGGGAGAAAATATTGGCCCCTGCAACGCTTCCCTGAAAACGCATTCATTTTCCATACAAAATTGGTTTTGTTTGCAAAAAAAAAAAAAGAAGACACGGCGCAAGATCCTAGAGGAGCCAACATGCTCAAAGACTAGTGTTCAAATCAGAGGGCACAGCTGCTGTGAGACAGCCTTAAGTGCCTTTCAGTGAGTCTGTACGTGTGGCTGTGCCTCCACTCCCCCACATGAGACAGTTTCCCCTTGCTGGCAGTCACCGTGTCTCTTCCAAGAGGGCCTGGCTTAGAAAAACCTGCTCCTGGGGTGGCCCTGTGGACGACAGTTCCCTCTGCCGTGGCTTCACACATGGCTCTGGGTCCCTTGCAGATGTTCAGGACGATCAGGTGGTGGAAGCAGTTTCCAGGGACAAGAAGCGAGAGCTGCGTCTGGATCAGGTCCTTGCCCTGACAGAGGAGACCTTCGACTCAGCCCTCCTGGAGACCTCCCGGACAGTGGTGCTGTTTTATGCCAGCTGTGAGTAGGAAAGGTGGCCTGCCTGTGCCTTCTCTGAGCTTGTGCTGCTCACCATGCTTTGCATAATGTGGCAAACCTATAGGCAAGTTTAAACGATGTAAAAGTGCCTCCACCCATGGTTGGCAATCAGATTAAATCAGTTCTGTCTCATTGACCAATACTATGTGAAGACACTATCTTTTAGTGTAGACGATGTCGATGTTCATGTGTTTTTAAGCTTAATTTTACAGGGATCATATGTAGGACAAGTTGGGAAATTGTGGTAGCATGGATCTCAGGGGATAGCCTAGACAACCTGGCTGCTGCACAGAAGCGTTAAATTCTTCTTTCTTTCAAGTCTTAAGAGACTTACGCTTAGTCTTAGGATGTGGAGAATCATTACACGGCATTGTTGGAGAGCAAGGTGGGGCTACTCTGTCACCTGTGTGTCCCTCAGAGCCATGTCTTGTCTGTGTTTCAGGGGAGGCAGTGTCCCTGGCAGTGCTGCGGTCTTACATCGAGGTGGCCGATCGCCTGAAAGGTAAGGTGCTACAGGTCCAAGGGCTCTCACCCAGAACATACTCATTTTTTTCCCCTCAGACTCCTAAGGAAGGCATACCCACATCAGGTTGCGTAGGAAGAGACCTTTCTTATTTAGGGATCTTCACAGTCCGTTAGTGCCTCTGTAAAGTCGTGGGGCTGGGAGTTCATCTCTCTGCAGTCGCCTTATGTTGGTGGTGTAAATCGGTGCCCACCAGCTTCCCAAAATGCCTTGCACCTGAGGTGGCAGCGTTGGTGGGCGCAGTGACAGCATGACAGATGATGATGATGACGATGGTGATGTTGGTGGGCACAATGACCACATGATGGATGATGGTGATGAAGATGGTGATGTTGGCGAGCACAGTGACTGCGTGATGGATGATGGTTATGTTGATGGGCACAGTGACCACCTGGTGGATGATGGTGATGATGGTGATGTTGGTGAACACGGTGACTACATGATGGGTGATGGTGATGGGCACAGTGACCACATGGTGGATGATGGTGATGATGATGGTGATGTTGATGGGCACAGTGACCACATGATGAATGCTGGAGAGGGTGGGGAGGGCCAGGGTGGAGCACCAGTGGCCATGGGGGACACAGAGTGGGCTTTGTAGTGAGGAGGAGCAAACAGCAGGCACCGTAGCCTGTGTCACAGAAACGGTTTGTGCCCCTCAGGACTAGGTCCTGCACAGACCAAGGAGATGCATTACATGGTGCACGGCAAATCAGTGTGCTGGGTGGCACATCAGGTCTCCTGTCCTTGGAAGTACTTGATATGGAAAGGAGCAGTAATTGGCCCCATCTTTGGTGGAAAGCGTGACAGACAGGTGCAGGCAGGCCCAGACCTACGGTGTCAGACGAAGAATTTATAATGATGATGCCTTCAGGGCCTGGAAACTGGCTTCATTACATGGGAAGTCTCACAGACGGCCACAAAACTCCATAAATAGCACGTGACGGGGAAGAATCAGCAACACTTAGAAGCAGCACATGTTGTGTAGTCTGATAGTAAAGGCAGGAGGGAGTGATCCTTCAGGAGGTTCTGAGCAGTTCCTGGGCAGTGTGAGCCCCGACTGAGCTTCATTCAGGTCTACAGCCCCACCCCTCTCTACAATTAGTGGAGGGAGGTGGGTTCTTCTGCACATCCATCATTCTTCCATGGGCTGAATCTCATGCAGAGATGTCTCTTTCTCCCGCTGGCCGCAGGGGACACTCAGGTGGCTTCATCCCCATCTCACTGCTCGGAAGTCGCGTGGATCTGGGCGACAGCTGTCCTGGCACCCGTGAAAGCTGCTAGTGCCTTCTTTTGGTTTTACTTCTTCATCAAGGCTCATTTCTCCTCACAATGGCAATCTCCTGGGATCGAGCACCATGTCCTGCAGGGCACAGGCAGGATTCAGGCTGAGATCTCAGCAGTGGGGACATGTATCGAGTCTGTGGAGGACCCAGCCACCTTTCTGGGAAGCAGATGCAGTGGGAGTTGCTTACGAGAAAACTTCCCGGGAATGCTGCAGGCAGCGCTGTGGTTTGGATGAAAGTGGTTCTGCATTTGTAGTTCACTTGAGGGGAAAGTCACCAGCAGCTTTGATCTGGACTGAAATCCCAGGAATAAACAGGAAAGCTCAAGGAGGGTTGTTGTTGTTGTTAGGGTTGTTATGGTCATTGATGGTTTTGGATTATTTTTTTTTAGACTCCCCAGTAGTCAGAGCAGCTAGAGGAGCAACCTGGGGGAGTCAGTGGGTGAAACCCCACCTCTTCCTGAGCCAGTGGCCAAACCATGGCTGATTCTGCGCAGCCGGGCTTTCACCGTGTGTTTTTTAAATCATTTGATAGCAATCTCAGTACCTGGAAGCAGCCACAGGCAGATTCTCAACAGAGATTATGAACTGAAGGTCAGAGCCTTTCCCCTGTGATCAGTGAGGTCCCACCAAAGACTCCCAGGCCAGATGTGACCTGTGAAATGATTCCACCCTGCTTGCCCTGCTGCAGCTTCAGGAAGGACAAAGAACATCAGTGAGTCTGGAGATCTTTGGTCTCTGCTGCTGGGGGAGCTTCAGTCACAGGTGGACTACCAGGGGAGCTGGAGGACCTAAAAGGAGTCCGTGGGCTCTCAGTTATGGCCAGGATGAGGGAAGATGCGGAAGTTGCAAGGCAGAGAAGTCTAGATCAGGAAGATCTTGAGCTATGCAGGACTGAGAGTCATAAAATGGCTTTGGGGCAATCTCTCAGCAACCCCAGAAGCGCTGGAATTCCTGTCTGCTCTCTGAGGTGGAGCTTTCTTCCTAAGGGCTGAGAAGCCACGACCAGCTGTCTGAGGAGTGAATCACCCGCTCCTGAGGCACATTTGGAGTTGCAGAACCAAGTCCTGCTTTTGCTGCCAATTCTTTGTGCAAAAGGGCGCTGAGAATAGGCCATGTGAGATCAAACGCGATGGGTTGGAGGAGGTTGGAGACTGGAATGACCTTGTGAATCATCCAGTAGCAGATGTTGAGCAGATCATTGCAAAATTAAGTTTATAGCCCCTCAAGTGTTTTCCCTTTGTTGCAAGATCCGATCTAGCAAGAGATAAAGAGAAGCGTCTCTGCAGCTGAGGCTCACTGCGGCAGCTCTTGTTTGCTTTGGCAAAATGTGAATTTATGGAAGCAGCAGCCCTGGGACAGGAGAGGAACGTGTGAAGGTGAGACAGTGCTTTAACATTCCTTAGCTCTGTCATTGGCCTTTTTTGCAAAGAGGAGATGAAACCAGTACCTAAGAAGAGCAATAGCCTGTGGTGAAAACCAGTTCTGCTTCCCTCTTCTGCACTCGTGGAGTCCTCTTGAATCCCAAAGACAGGAGTCCGAAGTTGTGGTTCAAAGGCATGAAAATCACGGGCATGATTTGACGATGTATATGGATGGAACCTAAATCTGAAGGAAGGGTTTAGGAGTCCACCCTGTGATGCTGGTAGTGAAGGCAGGAGGGAGGGATCCCTCAAGAGGTTCTGAGCTTCAGTCAGGTCTTCAGTCGCAGTAGACGTTTCCCATCCCGTATTAGATTCCTCCTCTTGAAGTGCAGCACTTCATACGTAACTTCTCTTTCATGTTGTAGCCTTTGGACCAGCTCTTCAAGTGAGGTTTTTCTAAAGCCAGTCCTGCCCTCTAAAGGATTGGAAGTTTAGGGGATTCTTGATTTTTCTTGTTCCCTATAGCACTGATGATTTATCTTGTCCATTTTTTAAGACCCCTGGGACAGAGGTTCTCATTGTTTCTGGGTTTAGTAGCACCTAAAATCGCAGAACAACAGGATCTTGTGTTCCTCTTTCATCTTTCTTCCCATCCAGCCTCTCAACAGGTCTGAACAGTCTGTTGCTGAGTTACTCAACTCCTGAAGCTGCTGCTCATTAGTAATTAATAATATGGTGTAGATTGGGATGGCAGAGTGATCATTCTATACCAGGTGTTCCTCAGGCCAGATGGGGCTGCTTTGGAGCAGCCTGTTATGTAATCCCCTGGGGTAGTATCCAAATATTAAAACTCATATTTGAGGGACCTTATAGCAGCCTTGCAGTTTCATTTCAAGAAGACATCAAAGCCCGATTTCCATGTCAATATTTTTCAGAGTTGGGCAAGACACGAGATTATGTGGTAACTGATGATGAGAACCAGCTATACTGGATCAGAGGTGTGAAATAAATCCAGGGCCGGGCGTTTAATTTGCGATGTTATTTCAGAGCCTGGAGAATGACACAAACCATTTCTCCTCACGGGGAGTGTTTTGACAACTTCTGACCGTCTGAGTGGAATTGCAGACCCTTAGCTCTGTGCTGCCTCTTGCTTTTTCTGTACATGAGTTTGACAAGGCAGAACAGCAGCAAACTCCTCAGGGGAGCTGCAAAACCAAACCTAAAAGGAGGATTGCAGAAAATGATCCGATGGGATGCCAAGGATGTAGGGATAGGGGATAGGAACATGTGGCAAGGTCACCGTTGTCTGTGGAGATGCCTTGCCCATCCCTGGCAGGCATGTTTGTAACTTGTGCTTAAAACCCTTCCACAGCTTCTCTGCCAAAAAGGCTCGTCTGTGCTTGGATCTCAGTAGCTTGTTCTAATATTTGGTCAAACCTCCCTACCTAGGAACGGGGTTGCTTGTCCTTGCCCAGCTGGCAGCAGCACGTGATCTCACTGTTGTCTCCAGAGCAGATTTTACTTTCTTCCAGGTAATTTCCAATCACAAGAAACAGAGCTCTTTGGGTTTTTCTTCAGGAGGCACATCTTCCAAACTTCTCCAGATTCTTTCTTATCTGCTGAAGCCTTTCCAAAACCACGTTTCTTGGGCTCCGCAGAGATCTCACCAGGACAGGAGAGCATCGTTTTCCTCCTGTGTCTTGCAGACACTGCTGAGAGTTTATCCCAGAACGAGCTTTGCCCTTTTCTGCAGCACTGATGATATCTGCGCGCCGTGCTTCTCATCGCAGAACGCCGCTGTTGTTACACTTGGCCCTTCTAATTGCTTTCTGCCCCCCGGGGCTTGGGACCATTTGCAGATTGGATGTGTGTGGTTTATTCCATGAGCCAGGCCTTTAATGAAAACAGCGATGGGAATCAAACCCAGGACAGGCAGACAAGAGAGTGTGGCTGTTTTGATGTGCCGTACTCTTGAGAAATCCTCATCGCCTGCCCCTGGTTCCTGAAGGACGCTTCGCGATGATCAGCCTCCATGTGGGTACTTGTCTTGAGGTTTCATCCCGTTTTTCCCATGTAACTCTTGAATCCTGTTCAAACCAATTTAGGGAAGGCATGAAGATTCCTGAGATGTAGCATTCCTGTGGTGGGTATGGACTTTGGACAGCCCAGTTGTCCTTGGTCAAGCCTGCAGGTGGGTAGGAGGCAGCTTAGGTGAGGCTGGCAACCACGAGGTCGTGGCTACTGAAGCTGGTGATGGTTGACCTGCCCGCTGGCTAGCACAGGCTTAGCTGTGGGCCAGTAAAAGCACGTGCTGGTCTTCACTCAACTTGCAGATGAAACAAAGGCTGATAAGGACATGGTAGAACTGTGTCTTGGGCTCATGGAGAGCATGTGGGGAACAGACCTTCATTTGTCTCACTGCGTATGGATCCCTTGAGTTTCTTGTTATGGTGAAACCCATAACAGGGTTTTTTAGTAGCAGGAACCAAAGTTGGACTGACTGCTCTGTAATGTCCCTTACCTGGGAGACCCCAGGTTTTCTCTGAAGGTCCTAAAGGTATCTGCTAGTGGCTTGGAGACGAGCAGCTTGCACAGGTAGGGTGAGGTGGGTGCCGTCAGACTGCCAGCCTCTATCACATCTATCATGTTCATGAGACCTTTAGCTGCTCTCTTGTGTATTGGGCTCGATGGTTTGGGTAGAACAGACCCTTTTCAATACTGGGCACCTTAATAAATGAAAAAGCTTTGACTGCATCAGCCTCCTCCATGCCAAGCTGTTTTTTGCCTCATTCCTGTAAGTGAGGGCCTGCATCATTTCTGTGTCTTGGGCTTATTCCAAAGGCATTTCCAGTACCTTTCTTTACTCCCTTTTCTGCTCCTGGATGCTTGCCTCAGGGTTTCTTGGTGTCCCTTTGAGTAACCAGCCAGATGTGAATGTCTGTGGGCATTTTCTTCTGAGAAGTGCGACCTACCTCTTCCCTGAGTTTATTCTCTCCCTGGTCTGCTGTTTGGATTAGTCCACAGCTGCTTGGGTATTTAATATATTCACAGGCTGGAAATAGTTACTGTTATGCTCAGAAGTGTTAAGGCATATCCATGAATTATTTCAAGAGAGAAATAGCCTGTACTCAAAGGGATTGTGTATTCAGGGCTGGATTTTGACCTCCTGCTCACACAAAGTAGCACTGAACTCCAGCAACTTCTCAGCAGTTGCCCACCTGGGCTTGCTCTGACTGCTAGGATCCAGCCTTGTAGGATGCACACCAAAGTAAATAGGAATTCTGGCAGCGTTAATACAAATCTGTGTGATAATATGCAAAAGAAGTTCACAAAAAGCTCTCTTTTTTGACCATTTTATTTACTTTTCTTTTTTTCATATGATTTCTATTTGGTTTTTTTTTCCACTCTAGGAGTCGAGGGGGTTTTACTCTCTCGGGTGAACTGCTGGGACTGGCCCGGCGTTTGCACCAAGGAGAATGTCACTCAGTTTCCTACCGTCAAGATTTATGAGAAGAGAGAGCGGTCAGTGACGTACGATGGCATGTGGGGAACCGAAGAACTCAGCAGCTTCATCACGCTGTAAGTGTCTGTTACTGAGTCCCCAGGCAGTAAGACTGGCACATCTGCTGGGTGACGTTCGGGATACTTCACGGCCTGTGTAATGGAAATGCGTTTTTGGAAAAATAATGTCAGATGTGATTGTAGACCTGGTTTGCAAATTAGCTGAATAGAATCATACAATCATAGAATGGCCTAGGCTGGAAGGGACCTTAGAGATCATTTTAATCCAGCCTCCCTGTTGCCAGGGACACCACCTCGTGACTAGATCAGGCAACACATGGGGCTTCTGCTGCTTTGCAATGTCAGGAAGCGTCTGTTTTGGACATCGTGTCCGTCTGTTGTCGTTATCCCTCTCTGCTGGAATTCCTTCTCTGTTATTTTTATCGTGGATCCCAAGAACCTCAGAGAACCCGGTTTGGCTGTTCTCTCTTCCCCATAACCAGCTCCAGTGCCTTTCTGTGACTAGGCGTTGTCCTTTTTTCTCAGGTGACTGTTTTTTTACTCTAATGAGGCGTAACAGTTGTCATACTGGGTTGGGTTATCCTTTTGTTTCTTCACCCCAAAAGTGAAGAAGTCCATGCTGTTTCTGGCACAGGCTGCCCAGGGCTGGGATGGAGTCCCCATCCCTGGAGGGATTTAAAAGCCGTGCAGATGAGGTGCTCAGGGACATGAGTTAGTGGTGAGGTTGGCAGTGCTGGGTTAACAGTTGGACTCAGTGATCTCAAAGGTCTTTTCCAACCTAAACAATTCAGTGATTCTGTGATGCTCTGCCTCTCTGCAGGAGCCGTGTTTCCTGCCCTCTGAAGCTGGCCACGATTGATGAGGCAGAAGGATATTTAAGAGGGGACTTTCCATCCGAGCTGTCATCCTATCGCCACGCTTCGCTTCTAGGGGTGTTCAGCACAGCCACGAGTGAAGGTTGGTGTGGGATTTGTGGACTGAGCACTTGGCTTCGTTCCTGATGGGAGAGGGATGATTCCAGGTGCTTGGAAGTTCCTCCATGTTTCGTTTTCTCTAAGTGTGTTTGCTCAGATCACAGCCTGCCTGGCACCACTCTTTCTATTTTTGCAAGAAGGGGGAGATAGCAGGTGATTCCAGCTGGGACCTCGGGTCCATATCCTGGCTCAGAGGACATTCAGGTGCCAGGTGTGGTTACTACACCCAGCATGTGCGCATCTGACACCCCGACAGAGACCGAGACGTGGTGCTTGGCGCAGGATGAAACAACCATGCCCTGCGTGACCTCTCTTCTACAAAGAAATTTTTACAGACATCCAGTCTGAAGTTAGCAAGCTGGGATTTGTGCCTGTTGTATCTCCTGCCCTTTTTACCATGAGGAGTTTGGCTCTGTCCTCTTTGTGAGTTCCTTTCAAAGTAGTTGTAGGCTGCTATGAAATCTCTCCTTAGCCTCTGACTAGCCCAGATCCATCACCCTCTTCTTGTAGTCCCTGTACAACATGTCACAGCATTTTCTTTCTTAAAGAAAGCCCTTTCTGCTATTGGATTGATAGTTATCTTGCTGACTCCTCCTCCTGCAGAGATGGCAGTCCCAGTCCTTGCAAACACCACAAAATTCCAACCCCCCTTTTTTTTTAATAAAAAAAGAAAAAAGCAAAGCAGCAATAAGGTAAAAATACAAATTTCTTCCGTTGGAAGGAATGAAATGTGAATAACTCGATGAAATCTGAAACTCTGAAATAGCCCCCAGCGTGGTGGACACCAGCTAGAAATGCTAAACAGAGTTGCTGGAAGGAGTGTTCTGAATTTGTTTGAATTTGCCTCACTTTGCAATCTTGGTCAGAGGCTCGAACTTGGAGCAGTGGTGCTCTCCCTCCATTGCCTGCTGCACAGGATGCTGTTAGTCACCCAGATGTTGCTCCGGTACCCTTTGTTGCATGCCACAGCTGTGGTCCAGGATCTGTTGAGTTTCCACAGACTTTTTGAAAGATAGGGAAATGGACCTGAGAGCTGTGGTGACTTTTTTCCCGTGACAATCACGCACATTTGCAAGTGAGAAGGAATGAAGTCAGCCTGGAAAGGGAACATCGTATCATGCTTCAGTCAAATCTCCAGTGGCGAGCTGGGACCCTCCAACCCCATGTCCCTCGGTTACCAGCTACCCCTGGGAATTACTGCATTAAAAGAAGGAGAATTTTCTGTTCTTTTTTAAGATCAAAATTTCAGGCTGTTTTTCATTTTAAAGCTCCGTTGTGCCTGTAAACTTTGGCTGGGTGCAAACCAAGCTGCTTTCTCATATGAGGAGGTCCAGAGGGAATGCACATTGTGCTCAGAAGTAGGAACAGAATAAAATGTTCGGAACCAACCAGAAAACGCTTGGGCTGCATTCAGCGAGCCAGCTGACAGCTCATTTCTTCTGGAGGGTCTAAGTCTGTTAAATATAGTCCGTTTCTCCCTGGTTTTCGTCCGTTGAGCTCCAAAATCTTCCCTTTATTCCACATATTCCACTCTCTGCACTAGCAGAGTCTGGATTAGCCGCAGGGTAGGATGACATGGGGATGGCGAGAGGAACCTGCCTGGATCTGGCTGGACGTGTGAGCTTGGGCACTTATTTATATCCTTCCATGCAAACAAGAATCTTGGAGGTTTCCAGACAGCTCTGAGCCTTTGAGATTGCCTCTTCCCCTGGGGTACACTCAGCCACGGATGCCAGGGAGATGGAATAGGTGATGCTTTGACAGCCCACAGGACGTTGGAGATTCAAGCAGAATGACCCGAGAGAGCAGAAAACTGGAAGCAGCTCTTCTGGTGCCAAAACTCTTGCTGGCATCAGGGGTTGCTGCTTTTACCAGCCTGCAGGCTTCTCTGGAATTTCCAGTCGTTTTTCTCACGGCAAGAGTTCGTGCTCTAACCTGAACCAGCAACGTGCCGTGTCGCTGCCATTTCTAGTTAACTGAAACAGAGCAAAAGATGCCCAGTTAAATAAAGCCCTGGCTTTTTTCCAACACTTGGAGTCAGAACTATGTTAAGAAGCCCTTCAGCGGGCCTGAGCTAAAAGTGGCTTGTCGGAAAAATCATAACTTAACTTTGTTACAAAGAGGTGGATGGTTCTACGAGGGCAATGAACAAGCATTTTCCTGGAAACTTGAAAAACTCGTAGGAGAAGAATTGATTTGCTATGAAGAAGCTGGAAGAATATTTGGAAGCAAGACTCTGTCCTAAACTGTGCAGGCTATGTTTAAAAATATATCTGTGTTCTGCAAAGCTCTGGTACCATTACAGGGCTTGCCAGCATCGGTGTGAACCATGCAGGGATGCTACAGTTGCTGCTGGAGAGTATGGTTTGGTACCTTCTGTAAGAGGGAGAACGGGCGATGCTCAGATCCTGCCTCTGAAACCTCTGCGGGAGCTGTAGACCCTTCCTCATCTGGCAGTTGTATTCCTCCTTGTTCCCAAATCCTGCAGTGAAGCTGGGCTTGTGAAAGGCAACTGGGTCTGGCACAGTCCTCAAATTATGGAAAAATTTGGAAGTGTGATAGGGAGGGAAGATCTCCTCAGGAAGGGCCCTAATGAAAGCAGTCAGCTTGGACTCTGCTGAGGGTTGTCCTGATTTAGGAGAGAATTTCTGCAGCCACGGCTGCTCCAGGGCAGCGCTTCAGCATGGGCTTATATCTCAAGTGGATGTTTAAAGTTAAATGCCTTCAGAAGTGTTCTCCTGAGGAAGTTTGGATGTGAGCCTGCTCTTTCCACGTCAGGCTGTGTCTTTTAGTGGCTTCATGGCACAGGGCATGGTCTGCCCTGTGGCCTGTTCTCCAGGGACAAATTCACGAAGGGTTTGCTGATGAGGTTCTTGGTGACCCTCAGCTTCTCCTATGGGTTGCTCTTCTCTCACATGGATAAAATCAAGTGACAAAAGAGGTGGAAACCAACACCAAACCCATCCCATGGTGATTTTCTCTGTGTCACAAGATGAACCAGCCAAGCTCTGTCGCCAGCTATGTTGTATGTGTTTGTTGCCTACAAAGTCTGAACCCTCACCGAGCCACTCCTTTCAGGACCTAAGCTTCCAACTGGAAAGGAAAATAGTGTAAAGGAAAGTCTGCGGTCCCAGGGAAACACAATGGAAAATACGGCTTTGAGTGTAGCTGGAAAGCAGGAGGCAAACAACTAAAAAGTGACTGGTTGTGAGCCAGCCTCAGCCTGTTGAGGTCTGACTCACCAGTCCCAGGAGCTTGGGCTGGCCAGTTGGGATGTGACAGTGAACATTACAAGGAGCACTAAATAGCATCTGAATGAGATCTTATTTAAGTTATAAAGCAACTTGTATTGTGGCGGTATCTGAGATACAACCTTCGCTCTTGGCAAAACCTGACTTCTCCAAAGAGTGTGAGTTCTCACTCTCCGTATGTCGGAAGA